CCACTGGTGCTTGTCAACAGCCATTGCACATCTTTTTCAACTAGATCATCCTGAGATCATCTAGTTGACAAACACAGTGTACAATGCTCGGGTGCAAAGCTGAGCTGATGGAAACATTTTTCGGATTTGAACTAATGAACCTGATTTCGCATCGATCCCATCACAGTTTCACCGTTTTGTGGTGGTATCGATCCTTGCATTTGCTTCGGTATGATTCCCTCACTCAGTTTCAGCTGTAATGTACAAGGACATGAATATGCATATTTGTGAATATCAAAAAATTGAAAATTTTGAGTCAGATGGTGAATGTGATAAATTCCGACAGTTGATAAAAGGAAACCGAACTTCAGAGCATTTTGAAATAATGGGTAAATGAAATTGAATTCATTGAATCCGCAAAGTTCTCTTCGGAGCTATACACAAATCTTCATGGATTTTCCTACATTGGTAAACTTCTTACACTCATTTTTTCGCAGAGACTTGGTCATATGGAGTCATACGGATCATTTGGTCATTTCAGGCGTGCAGTGATTTTGTAATCTCGAATCAAACACCAAATACTCATATTTCCCGAAACTTGGCGAAAAAAATGTCACAATCACCTTAGATGTATCGAAATCATGATTGTCGATCACAGAGGATACGTTCCTTCTGTACGCTCCAAATGGCATCATGCCTTTGGAGGAAGCTCCTGTGTCTTGCGATAGAAGTGGATTGATTGTCTCGGAATGAAGATCTCCCTTGAAAACCGATTATTCATTTTTTCAGTAGGTAGTTTAGCACGGAGCATATTAATGAGTGGCGCACACAGGCACTGAATGCAACTGTATGCTTATCATGAATAACTTCAAATGAATCACAAATGTAACACACCTGAACAAGAGGCTTCGAGCCGTGCTCAATTTTGGTATACGCATCACGCGGTTTACCGAACGCACCCATACCCTCTTGGGATTGTATACATGGCCACTGCTCCCATGGAATGACGAATGGAATATAGACGTCCCTAAATAATTAAATCGAGTCAAATTGGTCGTTATGATTCCATCTCCGAAAGGGACACTGATGGGAGCATAGCAGAAAATAAAGCGATGGTTTGGTTTTTGGCCAATTCGTATTAAAAAGTCAATCGAACAATAATATCTGACGCGCTTATGACTGCAGTTGATAAATCAATGTTTTTGAGCAATCTTCCACGTAATTCCCCTTTACTAACGCATAGGATTGGTATGTTCCTGGTTCAGTTAGATTCCTCTTCGATGACACTTCAAAATCAAAAATGTTTTCAATTAACAAGGGTCGAACGACTTTATGAAACGCACAATTCTTTTGGTTTTTTGGCATATCTCTTGGTTGGTGGTATTTTCTCTTCCTTTAAAACGTCACACAGTTTCTTCTCTTCCGGAGGAAATTCGTACGGTTCGGGAGGCGTCCTCGGCGGTGGAACCCATTTTGGTTTCTCCGGTTTCTGAAGCTCACATAAAAATGAACAAGTATAACCTAGCCTTAGCCAAATACACTGAAATGAACTCTTATGTATGAGATAAAATTGCA